GGTGGGTTTCGCTGTGGCTCCTGGGCATCCCCACGGCCCTGTCCCTTGTGTGCTCCTCACCGTGGCTGCGTCCCCTTGGGTGTCACATCAGCCACGGCCCCTTGCCATGGTTGTCGAGCACCTCGCCATGACTTCGTCCCTGTGGGCATCACCGTGGCATATCCCTCTCATGCACCTTGCTGTGGCTGTGTCCCCACGGGCATTGCCATGGCCGTGTACCTCACGAGCACTTTGCCACGGCTGTGGTCCTCACACACCTCACCAGGGCCCTGCCCTTGTGAGCAGCGCCATGACCATGTCCCTCGCACGCACCTCACCGTGGCTGTGTTCCCGTGGGCCTTGCGCCAGCTGTGTCCCTCACACACATCTTACCAAGGCTGTGCCCCCGCAGCCATGTCCCTCGTGCAGTTCGCCATGGCTGTGTCCTCACAAGCTTCTTCGCAGCCCTGTCCTGATGAGCCTTGCTGCAGCCATGTCCCTCCTCACGCATCCCCACAACTGTCACCCCCTGTGCCTTGATGCAGCCATGTCCCTGTGATCCCCCTGTGAGCATGTCCTCATATGCCGCCGCCAGCTCCTCTGCACAATTCACCACAGTTGTGTCCTGCACACACACCCCTGTGGTGGTGTCCCTTCCTTGTGGGCGTCACCTCCATGCCTCAGCACAGCCACGTCCTGGCTTTGCTCCTGCAGAGCCTGCAGGCAGCTCAGCTTTGAGGCTGGAGAGACGTTTCTTGCGTCATGCAAGCCAGACAGGCTCTCCCAGGTCACCAAACCCTAGGGGGTCGCTGGTTCCTGGGGGGACTCAGAGGCTTGCATGCCCTCTGGAGCAGAGCAAGGGCCTGCTCCCTCCTCTCCTTGCTTGTCAAGGCAGGATGGCGATGCTGGAGATGTTGGAGGCTGCAGGACATTATTTGGCCATAATCCTTTTGAATTAAGAGCCAATCCAGCACTTAACTGGCGAGCCCCAGAGGGCAGGTGTGTACTAGAAAAGGCACATACCTTCCCAGCACATGGGTAGCTGCCTCCCCGAGTCAGCTCTTTTTCTCAGGGTTATGGATATTGCCTTGACACAAGAAACAAACTGCACTTTCACGCCGGTATGGCTGCACACGCACCAGGAGTTACGCCGGTGCGTGGAGCTCTCCCTTTTATCCTTACTCACACAAATGCGTTCTGATCCCTATTGCTGCACTTACAGAAGGGATTGTACAGATCCCATAAAGGCTAAGAGGAGCTTGGAGTGGGTTTGCTTACTGTCCCCTGTGCTTAGTTTCACTAGAAACACATCCCTGTGGGAGACTGAAAGGAGCAGAGTATTTATGCAACTTAACGATGTTTTCAGTCTTTCTGATGGGTCCCAAGGAACAGATGGGCCCTCTCGGGTTCCCAGCGGAGGCAGAAGAGTGGGTAATCCTGCTGCTTAGCGGGGTAAGATCCCAGCTACAAAGGAAAGAGATTCAAGGGAAAGCACTATTTAAAGTCAGGCTATTGCTCTGCTAAAACTTCCCATTTATTTATAGAAATACAGTGATAAATCTGAGCGAGGACAAAAGTTTGCATAGCCTGCTTCTTATCCTACAAACAGGCTTTCGTTAGCATTCGCAGCACCGCTCCTCTGAAACTTGGGAGGTCACGGCAGAGCAGCCTGCCTTGCACAGTTGTGCTGGGAACCCTGCCACCCGTGGGGAAGCTTATTTGTTCAACAGGGCAACATGTGTGTGTGGAACTCAGTGTGGGGAGAGTAGGAGGACCCATGCAATGGAAAATGGCTCGTAGGAAGGGGGTTCACACCAGCTTTCGGCTCTGGATCAGCTTTGTCTCAGCATGGGAACAGTTTAAAAGCCCAGTGTAAGCATCTCCTCAACTGAGCCTGATGGTTTATAAATATACCATTCAGCATCCTAGATAGTTCTTGCCCTAAGTTAATTAGGGAAACACTTAGCAGGCAGTGAGATTTTTCTATAGAAGGCTGTTGGCAGGGAGACACAGAGCCGAGGGTTGGCGAGCGTCCCGCATGAGGTCCTTCTGACAAACACGCTGCAGTGCGGGGTGTTCGGGAGCCGACGCCAAGAGCCGGTTTGGAAAGACGTCCCAACTCTGGAAAGCACTTGGGTCTGCCCTTAATTTTAAGCGACTTTGGTGAAAGTGAACTGCTGTGCTGTGTATAAGCATCTCGCTTTGCCTCCCCCAGCGCATTTATTACCTGTCCCTGGAGTTCTACATGGGCCGCACCCTGCAGAACACCATGGTGAACCTGGGCCTGCAGAACGCTTGCGACGAAGCCATTTACCAGGTGAAGCCTTGGGGTACCGGGGTCCCCCTGAGGAACTGGATGAACTTTTCCATGTGGAGGGCTGGGTATCTTTGTTTCTCAGGGCTTCCTCCTAAGGATGTGTTTTTCATCCCTTAGATAAGATCACGTGGGGACCTTCGTGTTCCTTGAGAGTTGGAGTATGGTTTCCCCAAACCAGTGTTTTCCTGCAGTGGCTGGGAGAATCTGGGAAAGTATCCAAAACACAACAGCCAGTATCCCAAAAAATTAAGGAGCCCCAGGCTGCAAGTAACTTCCCATTACCAGGAGAGATGGTGGCTCATCATGGGAGATGGAGTCTAGTGGGGGAGGCTGGGCCAGAAGAGGAAACAGGAGCACCAAAACACCAAATTACGGTTCATGCATGCAGGTACACAAGGCGTTACCAGCACTGCCAGGTAGAAGTGAATCACTGGGAAGGAAGAAAGGGGGGAAAGCGTTTGCTTGAATTAAAATATCATCGGATGAGTTCAAACTGGAAAAAACACAGCTGAGCATCACCAAGGCAGTCACAAATGAGAGTCTGTGGTTGCTTGCAGCCACCTCTGCCGCAGGATGGTGACCTTTTAGACAGAGTATGAGTTTTGGGGCTTTCTCACCCAAAAGCTTTATTTCCCCTCTCCTCTTCCTGCCTGCCTCATCAGATTGATCCACATTACACTTCCTAGCAGAAGTTGGGCCCTGTCACTGTCGTTCAAAATGAGGTGCTGTGATTGCTGGCCAGGACTTTCGCTACCAAGAGATGGGAAGGGATTTCCAGAGAGGGACCTGACGTGTTTCCTCTCTGATGTATTGTGCCTTGGAGAGCAGGCTGGGTTTTTTTGAGGGAGGATCCTCAAGTCCCTTTGCAAGGCATTTTCCGTGTGCTAATTTGGCCTCACGTGCGAGCAGAGGCTTCCCGCGCTGTAGTCTCCGACATGTGGCTAGTGGCCACCTCGGGTGGGAGGTCTCGCATTCAGAGAGCAGTTCGGGGAGCAGCCATGGTGTCAGCCTGACTCCTGGAGAGTCCTTGCAGCCAGCAGGCTTAGCCTTCATCTGACAGCAGCCCCCAGGCCAGAGAACAAATGGCCTGAGAGATGCAGCGGAGGAGAAAACCACTTCCAGACATGGACTCCAGCCAAGGCGTTCGGCAGCAGGCTGGGCAGATGCGGGAAGGCACAGGGCGTAATGGGGAACGCTGAAGTAACCAGCTGCCAGCGTGGTCATGCCCTTCCTTGGGGAGCGGGTGGGTGTGAGCGGAGGGGCGATGCGGGTACCCAGGCAGGATTCGGTGGTCCCTCGTACACTGAATTGGCCATTGGCCATCCTGTCCACAACGGCAAGTTCGGTGGAAGGGCCTCCCGGCATGAGAGACTGCCAGGAGACAAGTGTTTTGTTTGAGGTCTCTAAGGAAACCTAGTTCATGGGAAAGTGGCGTTTGATGATGGGCTAAGTTGTTTTCCAATTAATTGAGACCAGAGGATGGCAAGATGCTTTGTGGGGAGAGGAGGGTGAGGGGACGCAGAGACCCCCACGGGCTTAATTTCACATGGTGCGGGTTGTTTTGGGATCTGTGTTTGCCCTCCTTGGAAAGCAGCCCCAGGGCATGGGCTTTAAGTGCTGACATGTTCTGCCGTGGCTCTTTCCCCAGCTGGGTTTGGACTTGGAGGAGCTGGAAGAAATTGAAGAAGATGCTGGGCTGGGAAACGGAGGTCTGGGCCGCCTGGCAGGTAATACAGGGACAGAGGAGCCCCATCCGCTTGGAGAGCACACAGGGACCGAGGGTGGCCTGGCTGAAGGGTGTCAGGCCCTCGCCGCCAGCACCACAGCAGGACAGTGTGCAGACCTCAGGCCGTTTCCACCCCACAGCCCCTCAGCAGCGTAGTGCCCTCCTGCCTGCTCCTGGCTGGCCAGGAACGAGCACTCTCCCCAGCAAGAGCACCCAGGAGATGGAGTGGTGTAGCCTGCAGTGCAGCAGGCAGGGCCACGGCTGGAAGAGGCTGTCTGGAGCCTTTCTCCTCACCTCCCAGTGAAATCTCTCACTTTTTGGAGGCACCCAAGCAGCTCTCACGTAGGCAGATTGTTGGCTGCTATTTTAGTCTGCCTGTCCCACAGGACTGCTGGAGATGAGAATTTCCCAGTGCAGAGGAAATGCCAAGGCTGATCTTTACCAGAGCTGCCCTGGACTGGGGGCTGGAGGCGTTTGCTCTGAAGGCGATAATAGTGAAGTAGCTGATGGGGCAGCAAGTCGGGGTCAGAAGCCCTGCTTTACCAGGCAGGCGTACAGCCAGGCATGGGCATCTTGGGCAAGTTTAGATCTCTCTGTGACAAGGCTGGTTTGGGATTTTTTGGTGACCAGCAACTTTGGGGTGTTCGTGGTGGCTCAGCAGGATGTGCATGGGGTCCTGCTGCAGGCTGTCCCCATCTGCACGTGGATTTCCTCCCAGTACTAAGTGTTCGCAGCAGCACTGCTCGTGCTGTGCCCAGCGTGCCATAGCGGGTGCAGCGAGCGAGGGGTGAGGTTCCCTGCAGCCTGACCATGTTCTGCTCTTCCAGCTTGCTTCCTGGACTCCATGGCCACGCTGGGGCTGGCAGCCTATGGTTACGGCATCCGCTACGAGTTTGGTATCTTCAATCAGAAGATTGTCGATGGCTGGCAGGTACGGCGGCAAACTCAAGTCACCCTTTTTCCTTCTGTTTCATGCTGCAGTGGCCGCCTCTGCCTGTGGACCAGGCCGCGCCGCACAAACAGCACTGTGGCACTGTAGGCTGTTCGTAACTTGGGCATTTGAGCCCATCACCAGCTGCCAAATGGGATGTCACGGTGGGTCAGGAGTCAGGCTGAGGATGGAGATGTGGCAGCGCACCTAAGGAATGTGTCTGGTGGAGGGTGAATTTGAACATGGTGGGACACATGCGAGTGCCTGGGGTGCGGCTACTCATGTGGCCTCCCTGGGAGCCTGGTAGCAGGGGCTTAAATAGGGGCTCAAGTAGGGGCTCTCCTTTAGCATTAATATTTTCTTCAAGTGAAAATAGGCTAAAAAACTGCCCTAGCTGGCAGCTGTCCCCAGTGTACGTCTGGAAATGGTTTCCATTAGGAGACTCACTTTGCTTCTGAACATAATGGACCTTTTTTATCCCTTGAAATAGTTCTCCATAAGCCAGGGAGGGCGAGAGGTTTGAGGGCTGTTTTTTCCTCCTTCTCCACAAAGAAGCTGCAGTGCTAGGCCCTATAAATGGTGAAAAACAGGGAAAAGCAGCACCCACTGTAATTGACTAAATGTTACTTAAAAAAGAACGGATGGTGGCAATGCTGGGTTGTGGCACAGACCTGTTCCCTCCTCCCGTCCCCCCCATCCTGGTAGAGAAATGCCTGCAGTCCCAGAGCATCTCTCCAAGTGCCTCAGCCCCTCTGGTTTCTGGTGCACCTCAGCCTTGCTTGCTCTGCTGAATTCGCTCCCGTGGGTGCTGGAGAAGCACACCCCACATATCCCACTGTCACAGTCAAACTGGGAGCCAAGGCCTTGAGACAGATCGAGCGCAGGAATCTGTGCAGTTTGGATGGTTTAAACCTGTCCAGCTCTGCAAAGCCCGTAGAGGCTGATGTATTTATTTCTACCAGCTTGGATGCAGTCATCCATGTTTTGAAAAACCCTGCTGTCCTCTAGAGGCCTCTGCATATCCATTTTTAAAGCCAGCCGGCTTTTAAACTGGCCTCCCTTCAGAGAGCCTAGTTTGGCCTTCACTTGGAGACACAAGTCCTCACTTGAACCCTGTTTGCCTCTTGCAGGTGGAGGAGGCCGATGACTGGCTACGCTATGGCAATCCCTGGGAGAAAGCTCGCCCGGAGTACATGCTCCCCGTGCACTTCTACGGGCGCGTGGAGCACACCCCTGAGGGTGTGAAGTGGATTGACACCCAGGTACCGGCATCACCCTCAGCGGCAACGCTCTGCTACCCTTGCAATTACTTGCAATGACTTTGTTGGCTACAGCTGCAGCAGGATTTGAGAAAAAGGAGGGATGGTACTCAGTCACAGCTGTAACTTCCAATCAGCTGGGGTCTCCATCCCTGCTGATCTCCAGGGTGAAGCCCCACAGTCTTGTAAGGATTCATGCTGGAGGAGGACTATATCCCTGACAGCTGTGCTGGGCTCCTTCCGCACTGCTGCTGGCTACTGCTCACTCAAACCCAGTGGTTTTGAGATGGTTCTGGTGCTGCTGCTGTGGTTGGAGATTCATCTCATGGGGTGGCCATGGAGCAATGCTGTGGGTGTTTAACTCCTGCGATCAGAGCAAGTTCCTCTTTCCCAGACCAGCCTGATGGGTAGAGTGCTGTCAGAGGAGTCTGGAGGCATGGTTTCAAGTCTCCAGTCTGCCTGGAGGCCTTGTTTGTGGCATCGGGGGGAGTAAGTGCTTCTTCAGCCCCCCACAGCTGGGGAGGTAATGCAGTGCTTCAGGGGCACAGGCTGCCACGTGGTAAATGCATTTCAGTCTTACAGCTGAGGAAGGCAAGCTTTAAAGAGGCACAGATTTATTAAGAGGTTTGAAGGTGTTTCAGTCTCCCCTGCCTAAGCACTGCCCAGGGTACAGGAAGGAAGGACTATGAATTTCTTTGGGGTTCAGGGACGTGACCTGGCCTTGTTCCCATGATGTTCAAGGGTCTCTCAGCCTGATGAGCCAGCTCTGTCCATCCAAGGAGTGCACAGTCCTAAAGCCAGGCCATTCTCTTCAGCACCAAGAGCTGAAACTCAGTTACAGAGTCACCTGGGCCTGCTCAGAGGAGAAATAAATGAGGTCCTTTTCCAGGGACCCTGGTTCTCAAAGGCCATTCACAGAACACACGCAGTGTGGGGGTTCAACACCACAGCCCTGTGAACAGCAGAGAGGCACCGTGCCAGAGCCCTCTGGGGAAGCAGACATCCACTTGGGGACTGAGGGGCATTGCCTTTCTGTTTGCTCCTCTTCTGACCCCAGTGGCAGTCCTGGGTTTCGGGGATCCCAAGCAGAAACACTGCTTTCCAGCAGGAGGCGAATTTCCAGATAGTGCCGTTGAGGGAACAAGTTGAAAAGGCTCAAAACAAGCCAAAGATGCGGTTTCCAAATATAGCATCGCTCAGTTCATGTGATGTGTGCCCCAGTCCCGTGGCTCGGGCAGGGCAGGCTCTCTGCCTGCTTCCATGTTCGGAGCTGGTACGAGCAGCTCTGAGAGCCTGAGCTGTTGCTGACTCTTCCCAGCGGGGAGCTGTTGCTGACGCCAGCGTGAAGAGGCTGTTAAGGGCCACCGTGCTGATCTGCCTGGGTTTTCCTGGCCCAGTGAGCACAGCTCCTTCAGTTCTCTGCTGCATCTCGCATCTTTGCTTGGGGACAGCCTCTGGCTGCCGTGCCAGTACACACTGACTCGTTCAGGAGGATGCTGGCTCCTTCTGACAGTGTCAGCGAGGCAGCCCAGGCTCTGTGCTGCAGGAGCAGGGGCTTGCTTTGCAGGCACCGTTCAGCTCTGCTGGCATGAGCCCTTGGCCTCTTTGTTCCAGACTGAGGTTGGGGTGCCTTGCCCTGCTGCTTGGCAGGTCTGGAGGCTTGCAGATGTTGGCACAGCAGTGAGCTGCAGCACACAAGCTTGGAAGCACACCCATGCTGTGGCTAGGGTAATCTGAGCTGGGAGCCCCACGATTGCTCCCTGTAGCCATGTGTGCAGCATCCTGATGCTTAAGTTTCTTCCATAGACTGCACTCATAGTTTTGCACTCATGTTCAGGTGCTGGACATCTCAGTGGATTTAGCTGGGTAGGTTTACCAACATTGGGTGACTTGCTCTGGGAATGGTGCTGGGGCAGTAGAGTTTGGTCTTGGTAGGATCCTTACCACAGCCAGGAGTTGTCCTCTGGATACTTCCTTGCGGAGGTTTCGGCTGATTCCTTACCTTCTCTGAGGCCACTGTGCTGCTAACCAGAGGGGAATCTTGTCCTTTTGCAGGTTGTCCTTGCGATGCCTTACGACACGCCAGTGCCAGGATACAAGAACAACACCGTGAACACCATGAGGCTATGGTCTGCAAAAGCACCCAATGACTTCAACCTCCAAGAGTGTAAGTGCTGTCCCTTCACGGCCTCCCTTCTGTCCAGGCTGGGACGTAGTTGTTCCTGTGTGCACAGTGCCTGGCACAGCACTCCCGTTCTGGCCCGCTTTATCCATACCTCCTGGCTGCCTCCAAAACACCGTGCTTTGTGTGCATCCATGCATCGCACTACCTCTAACCACTTCCAGAGCCCTCATGCACCAGGATGCCCATCCGTCCTTCCATCCCAATCAGGTTTAGCACGCTCTCAAAACCTGCCCTGTGCCTTCCCACCATGACAGACCACCTGTAACTGTGTTACCCACATCACCAGAGGAGCTGCAAACCCACACTTGCCATGGAGGGTCCTTTCTGTGCAGCATCATCCCTTCATGCTGCAGGAAAAGAGCAGCACAGCCACCTTACTCTTGGTTTCCTTTGGATCTACATGTGACATTTCACAGGCTCTAATTGTAGTGCTGAAAAGCAGATACAGAGTGATGAACACAGCGAATGTCAGCACTAGGCTGTTACAGAAGGGGAAGGTTTTAGATCAGAGTGATTTGATTTATTCTTCCTTACTGGCACGCGCAGAGATGTGTGTGTTCAAGCAGCCCCGCCAGGAGAACTTGTATGGGACAAGGGGTGATGGCTCTTGAGTCCTCATATTGTCTCCTCAATTCTCCATTGGCAGCTGCAAGCTGGGTTTCAGATGAGCCTTTTGTACGCTTTAGGAGTTGAGTGTGATTGCGGTTTTTGTGCTTCTTTGCCCTGCCCCGTTTCTCCTTAGTCCTTAAGCAGGATGGCTGATCACTCCCTTCCTTTTTTTGCCTTCTCTGGCCACTGTCTCCAGTTCCTGTCTGTCCTTCCTGATATGCATCTTGAGAAGCTGCATGGAGATGTGCCTTTCTCTTACCCCATCTCCTCCTGTCTCCCTGGTGCCTTTCCCACGTGGATATTCCCATTAATATTTCATTAATACCAGCCTGAATGTTCCTGGTACAAATCTCTCTATGAGAGAAGAGGAAAAGGTGGGGTGTCAGGGACCTGCCTGACTCTCTGCAGCTGCTGCAGTGCCAGAGTGTGTATTTCTCTCTCGCTGCAGTCAACGTGGGTGACTACATCGAGGCAGTGTTGGACAGAAACCTGGCAGAAAACATCTCCAGAGTCCTGTACCCAAATGACAATGTGAGTCACTCTCTTGCCTCTCTTTCCTGCTGCTTGGGATCATCTTTCCTGTAGTTGTATCACCTTGGTTGCAAGCACTGGAAGGTCACGGCCACCTGATGTTTATTGCTCTGGTTTGAGGATTTTTAATGCAATTGGTTTGCCCTGTAATTCTCAGTGAACTGACACAGCTCTGCTGGCTCTAGAGGGTCTCTGCTGACTGATGGCAGAGTTGAGACTCTAGCCCTTGCTGTATAGCTGCTGTGGTCCCTGCTGCAGAGAGGGGAAGACATTTCTCCTGCAAATTCAAGGCAGCTGACAATTTACATGGCTTACCCTTTGCAAAAGTAAGTTGTCATTTCAGAGGTGGCCATGCGGGGGGGACTCGTTTCCAGCCCCAGTTCAAGAGATTTCTCACTGCAGGAACTGTCCCAGGCACCACTGTGCACAGTGTGTGTGCAGGTTCTGTGCACTCTGGAGGCAGTGATTTGGGATGCTGAGCCCCTTGTCAGTCCCTGCAGCTGTTGCCCCATCAGAGGCAGGATGAGAAACATCCAGATTTGCCCTGATGAGATGCTGAACCCGTGTTAGGAAGCACATCAGTGTGGACAGGAGCATCTCCAGGGAATGACTGGCTGCCAACTGGGGATGGCAGCTGCAGCACTGATGGCTGTGGTCCCCCCACTTGCAGTTCTTTGAAGGCAAGGAGCTGCGGCTGAAACAGGAGTACTTTGTGGTGGCTGCTACCCTCCAAGACATCATCCGACGCTTTAAGTCCTCCAAATTTGGCTGTCGAGACCCTGTGAGAACATGCTTTGAAACCTTCCCAGACAAGGTGAGTTTGTGGGCAGAGATGGTCTGGGGGCATTTCAGCCAGACCTGCCTACCATGAGGGTGAGCAGGATGCTCAGGACCAGGTGGGAACATGTAGGAAGGACCCTGGCAATTCGGGTTGGAAAACAGGTGATCTCCAGGCCTATTTTCCCAGGGGAAAAAAATTGCAATTTGGAGCAAAACTTGCAAAGGTTGAAGAGCTCCATTCCTGGGAGCTCTGTTTCTGGGATGTGTACCATGAGAAGGGGCTCGGGGCTGATCCTCACCCCAGTCCGATGCATGCAGGACGCTGTCCCAGTCCTGTCACTGCCAGCTCTGAGCCCAGCAAGTCTGTGTTGCAGGTGGCTATTCAGCTAAATGACACCCACCCTGCCCTGTCCATCCCAGAGCTCATGCGGATCCTGGTGGATGTGGAGAAAGTGGACTGGGACAAGGTAAGCAGAGCTGGGAGGGCTATGCCAAACCTTGCAGGGGAAGGAGCTGCTGTCCTGTCCTCAGATGGGGCTTCCTTTCCCCTCCTGGCTTGGGTTAACCTGCTGTCTGCACCGCAGGCCTGGGAGATCACCAAATGGACCTGCGCCTACACCAACCACACTGTGCTACCTGAGGCCCTGGAGCGCTGGCCAGTCTCTATGTTTGAAAAGCTGCTGCCACGTCACCTAGAGATCATTTATGCTCTCAACCAAATGCATCTGGACGTAAGGGATGGGGCTGTGGGAACTCAGGGTCTTGATCTGGCTGCCTTTAGGAGGTGGATGTTCCTAGGCCCTGTGGCTGGGTTGCTAATGTCCCTCTTTCTGCCTACCTGCAGCGGGTGGCAGCGCTCTACCCAGGGGACATTGACCGTCTCCGGAGGATGTCAGTGATCGAGGAGGGAGACTGCAAACGCATTAACATGGCGCACCTCTGCGTGATTGGCTCTCATGCGGTCAACGGCGTGGCCCGCATCCACTCTGACATCGTGAAGAACTCAGTGTGAGTTGGGGGGACACCCAAGGCACACACCCCCTCTGCTCGCCGGGCCTTGCCTGCACACCTAGGGGGCTAGCTGGGGCAATCAAGGGTCAAGGTCTGCTTTGGTTGCCCTGCTGGGCATGGCAGAATGGGGTCACTGTCTCATTGGCTTGCATGCAAGGTGTACTCTTCTCCCTTTGGAGCTGGTGAAACCCTCGGGTTATGGCTGAGGAAAGGGGTGAGTAGCAGCATAGAGAGTTCATACCGGGAGCTCCACAAAGGCTGCCCTGAGCCAGGAGCACACGCAGTGGGGGCTCAGCTGAAGCTCTGGGTGGTGGTGAGTGGTTCAGAGCTCCCTGGTGTTCCAGGTTCAAGGATTTCTATGAGCTGGAGCCAGAGAAGTTTCAGAACAAGACAAACGGGATCACGCCAAGGCGCTGGCTCCTGCTGTGCAACCCGGGGCTGGCTGACGTTATTGCTGAGGTGAGTCATGAGTGTCTGGAGTGAGGGGCTGAGCGTGACCCAACCGCTTCTGATCAGACCTGAGGCTAACACCTGACAGGTGTGAGTGAGGAGCACATCTGTTGCATGTGTAGGTGTGAGATTGACCTTTAAAGTCGGTGATGAAGAGTTGGCCAAAACTTCTTGTTTGGACAAGTTAACCATGAGCCAGCAATGTGCCCTTGTGGCCAAGAAGGCCAATGACATCCTGGGGTGCATTAAGAAGAGTGTGGTCAGCAGGTCAAGGGAGGTTCTCCTTCTCCTCCTCCTCCACTCTGCCCTGGTGAGGCCACATTCAGAGTACTGTGTCCAGTTCTGGGCTCCCTGGTTCAGGAAAGATATGGACCTACTGGAGAGAGTCCAGCAGAGGGCTACAAAGATGCCATAGCTGAATAACATCCTGCAATTAAATCATATCTTTATGAGCTGCCCATCCCTTTCTCCAGCTGCCACAGGGCCCTGGTACATGTGCACACACTGTCCCTCTAAGGGTCCTAAGAAGAGGGGGGACTTGTTCAGGTGTCTGCAAGTGCCCTGTTTCCCTTGTGCCTTTGAACACAGAGAATTAACCTCCCCATAAGAAACTCTGCCTGTTTTCCTGGCCAGAGTGCCTCTTCCAGTTCCCAATGGGACTGGCATCTCTGTTGGGGAAGCGCAGTTGTGGACTGGGTGAGGTGTCAGATGGGTGGGACATCCCTCCTTTGGTTTGTTCTTTTAGAAAATCGGGGAAGACTTCATCACAGATCTGAGCCAGCTGAAGAAACTACTGGATTTCATCAATAATGAGACTTTTATCAGAGATGTGGCAAAAGTCAAGCAGGTAATGTGCACTGAAGGTGGGGCAAGGGGAAGAAGGCTAAAGGCACCATGCTCCCAGGAAAATCCCAGCAGCGAACGCTCACTTCTGATGCAAGGCCTGGGAAGCCATGCATGTTCCTCATCAGATTTTCTCGCCAGGAGAACAAGCTGAAGTTTGCAGCCTACTTGGAGGAGCAGTACAAGGTCAAGATCAACCCTTCGTCCATGTTCGATGTTCAGGTCAAGCGAATCCATGAGTACAAGCGGCAACTGCTGAACTGCCTGCATGCTATCACCCTCTACAACCGTAAGTTCTGCCTGGGTAGGCAAGGGGTGCCCCCCCAGCCTCTCACTGCCAGGGTCCCCATGTAAAAGTATGCCAGCTGGTGGCCAAGGACCCCTGAGCCTACCTCTGCCCTCCTGTCACAAGGGGCTTCTCTCAAGGAGGGAAGACAGAAGTTGTAGGGGAAGACAGAGTCGTACAGAGCTCTGAGAAAAAGCTTGCAGTCCACGTCTCCAGCCCAGCTGGGTCCCAGGTAGCCCCCACACCTGTACTGCAGGTGTTAGGACTGAGCTGGTGCCAGTTAAAACCCCATTCCCCAGCGCATGCTTTGGGCCTCTGCCCATTCTTGAAGGGAGGCAAGTCACTGAAGCTCTGCATTGTGCAGACATCTGGTTGGGCTTCGGGGTCCTGCAAGTTTCCTGGGTCTACATGGCATAGGCTGGGATCCTAGCCCACCTCTGGTGCATGCAATAAATCCTGTCGAGTTTATCTTCACTTGGTTGTGTTATACCCTTCTCTTTCAGGCATCAGAAGTGATCCATCCAAATCCTTCGTGCCCAGGACTATTATGATTGGCGGAAAGGTAACATGTTCCAGGCTCAGCTCATGCATGGCTCAGTGGGGATGTGGGGAAGGGACTGTCCCTTTTCTGTGGCTTTGCCAGGCCCACTGTAGATTAGCCAGCATGTATCTGCTGGTGGGTTCTTCAGGAAGCACCTTCATGAACTAATCAGACTGAGCAAGGTCCCATCACCCTTTCCTTGTGGCTCAGGACTCCCATTAGGGTGTTTTTGTTGATCCATGTGATCAGCAGAGGTGAGGCCCAGATTCTCCCCGGGGTGAGGACCCACACTGGCACCTCTCGTGCTCTCCCTTCCTTAAAAACCTTCACCATTTCTGGGCTGCTCTTCTTCAGGCGGCCCCTGGCTACCACATGGCCAAGATGATCATCAAACTCATCACGTCCATCGGTGAGATCATCAACAATGATCCCTATGTGGGCGACAGGCTCAAGGTCATCTTCCTGGAGAACTACCGTGTGTCCTTGGCAGAAAAGGGTATGTCTGGTCTTGTGGAAGCACACATCAGGAGCTGGGCATGTCCCAGCTGAGCCCAAAAGCTGGCCTGAGAGACTGTCATAGCAGGCTACCTGACTTCCCCTTAGGAAGGAGCTGAGGGCTCCACACAGTGCAGGAAGTGACAGCACCTGCATGGGGTCATGGCAGGTCTGAGCCTGGCTCTGGCCCTAGAGCTGCAGTTTGGGCTGAGGTCGAGGTCAGCAGGGCCACTTGCAGATGCCCAGGGTTGTTTTGCTGTCCTGGGCCCAGGTTGTGGGGAGTTGCAGTGTGCCAAGGATTAACTTCTACCTCTCTTGCATGGCAGTGATCCCAGCAGCAGATCTCTCCCAGCAGATCTCCACAGCTGGCACAGAGGCCTCAGGTACCGGCAACATGAAGTTCATGGTGAACGGGGCCCTCACCATTGGTACCATGGATGGGGCCAACGTGGAGATGGCTGAAGAGGCAGGCGAAGAAAACCTCTTCATCTTTGGCATGCGGGTGGAGGACGTGGAGGCCCTGGATCGCCAAGGGTTGGTGCTGTGGAGAGCCCAATTGGGTGCCAAGACTTGTCAGATGGGGATAGAGGTCCCAGCTCTGGCAGGGAAAGCCGTGTTCTCTGGGAGGGAGACCCTGCTCCCTGGGCAGCTCTGGAGCACAAAAAAGCAGGGGACTGGAGACAGCCTCCACCCTGGGCTGGTCAGTGGATGATGGTCCATCAAGGATGCAGCCCAGGCAGCTTGCCCAGAGCACAGTGGCTGTGAGCAGAACATGAGCCTGGTCTTGGAGCCACTAGCAAAGTGCTCTGATAGACACAGCCCCAGGAACAAGGCCCCTTGCTCAGGAGCCATACGCCACCCTTGCCCGCCCTCCGTGCCCCATGCGCATCAGGGTCCTGCTCCCTGAGTGCTGGGCCCCAGGGCAGAGCATCAGTCCCTACAGCCTGTCTCTGCTGTGCACAGGTACAACGCACAGGAGTACTATGAGCGCCTGCCAGAGCTGCGACAGGCCATTGACCAGATCAGCAGTGGTTTCTTCTCCCCTCGAGACCCCGGTTGCTTCAGGGATGTTGTGAACATGCTCATGTACCACGACAGGTGAGTCCTGGCAAGCATCCCCTGTGGTGAGCTGCTCCCAGCCCCCCTGCCTAGCGGCTAAGCCCTGTCTGCCCGCAGGAAGATGTCTCTGCTGCCCTGTCCTGCCAGGATGGGATCCTACAGCAGGCAGACCCCAGCCTTAATCTGCTTTGGCTTTTAGGTTTAAGGTGTTTGCCGACTATGAGGCCTACATTAAATGCCAAGGCCAAGTGGACCAGCTATTCAGGGTAAGAGCTGCCCACGACCAAGGTGGGAGGGGGGTCCTTGGCCATGGCTGTGCAGTAGTGAGGTCTGGGGGAGCTGGGGTGAGCATGCTCCTGTGGAGCCCTTACAGACACCACATGGTGTGGGCACAAGGCAGCCCCGCAGCGCGGTGTTGAGACCAGCCAGGTGAGAATCTGACTGCTGACATTGCCTCTCCTCTTCCCAGGACCCCCGAGAGTGGACTAGGAAAGTCATCAGGAACATTGCTTGCTCGGGCAAGTTCTCCAGTGACAGGACCATCACAGAGTATGCCCAGGAGATCTGGGGGGTGGAGCCATCTGCCACAAAAATCCCCCCGCCCAACCTCCCCCGGGATTGATGCAAGCACAGAGGGAAGGAAGGAGAGATGGGTTCCCAGCCCAGGTGGCCTCACCTGCATTTCACCACCAGTTGGATGGGCTCAGCTCTGCAGAAACAACATCTTTCCCTCAGGGGGGTAGAAGGATGATCTGAGGAGGAACAGCCCTGACTGAGGATCGGGAGCTGGGGGAGAGGAGAAAGGACCCTGTGTTTGTACCCACATATCCAGCCTGCATGTGCTGCATAGTGCTTTTAGTGAGATGACCATGGATTAAGTCCTCCTCAGCTGTGCTCCATGCTTAACAAGGGCTTTCCAGCTAAATCCTTACCTCTCCCCATGCACACAGCCTGGCCTGGTTTCCTTGACCCTACCACAGGAGCAGGTTTAGCCAACACAGAATGTCTGTTGCATCCTCCTCTAATGGGTCTGCCAGCCCCGAAGCTACAGGAGGGAGAGGCTACTGTCTGCCCCTCCAGTCACCCCCTTTCCCCAGTGACACCCAGAGAAGGTGGGGCTGGCTGTTAAAGCAGCTGGCCCCAGTGCAGGCACCAATGTCAAATGCTGTGTGCGACAGCGAGAGGGAGAGAAGGCCTGCGATCAGCAACTTCCTTGCCACAGAGCTTGTAGCCTCCTCCCATGCCTCTTTCTTAACTAAAAGCCCAGTAACCAAGCCACTCCAGGGATTTTTAGCCTTTATGTCTGCATAGAGAGGGGTGTACCTGCCTCTGCCAGCTGCACAGCTGACCCTGCTGGGCCCCTAGGCCCTGAGCAGGCTCTTGGTTCTGCAGGCACAGCGGTATGCTGGGTGCTACCCAGGGGTGACCCCTTATCACATCTCTTGCATCCCTCCACAGCTGGGTCATACTGCTTCGTGTATCCCTCCCGGTGCTGGGGTCAGAGTTTAACACCTGTAGTGCTGTGTAGTGCACTAGTACTCCTCTGTGTGACACCAACTCATTAAAACAACCAGAATATCTGCTAGTTTGGCTTCAGGTTGACTTGCGACTGCTCCATGTCTGCGGCTTCAGGTTGCAACAACACCTGAAGCCATGCTGAAGCCACCTGTGGCTTCATGGGATGTGGTCCCCTGCAGCTGGCATGGTGCTGAGGTGATGGCACCATCATGGGGGCAGCATGCCCGTGGCAGAAAGGTCAGTCTTACCAGTACATGGGGTATACAGGAGGGAGATGGTACCAGAGGCTGTACTGGGCTAGCTGGGGCCAAAGCCATTTACCTGCACCCCTAGGGTGAAGGTTACAGTGTTGGGTTTGCCCTGCAGATGGCACACGGGGCTCCTGTGCTAGAAAGTCCATGGGCTGTTCCCATTTCCCCCATCCTGAGAGCTGTGGCTGCTGCCAGACTACAGGCACAGACCCACTGGGCTCCAGGAGAGGTGCTCACCCAGAGGTGGCAGCAGCCACCACGGCTTGCCCAGGTCCAGCTGTGAGCTCCTCACCTGCCCTGCACAACCCTACTGCAGCCCTGCCACACACCTACCTGACCTGCCCAAGTGGGGAAAAGGTCCCAAAAACTGCCAGGTAAAACAGGTGAAGCTGAAGTGATCAGCAGTCAATGCCTTTATTAAAACTACACCACTTTTTGGATAAACATTTCGGTTTAAACTTCCAAGCGTATCACTGGCCTACTAATGGAAACGGCAGTGCTGGGATCAGCAGCACCAGCAGTTCACGTGCTGGCCCCTCAGCTCTGCCCCAGGGGAGGAACGCAGCCAAGCCAAGCTCTAGCTCAGGCTGCGCTTTGCCCCAGGCCTGCTGCCAGCAGCAGCATTAGCTGGACTGTGCACATCACTCTCCAGAGCCAAGTAAGTGTTTCTCTTCTGTCAGTGCAATAAATACAAGTGCGTCAAACATAATTTAAGTGGCACAGTTAGCTTATGAGTACCATGGGTCAGAAACCTCAGGGACAACTGCGCTACGGCAGAAGAATCTCAGTACAAAAACAAGCTACTGTCTGCTTTGCAACTAGTATGAGCCTGCAGATATAACTTGGATACATGCTGAGCAGTTTATACTATGCTGTACGTCCTTGAACAGACCCTTCGGGCAGCACAACTCATTCTGAGCGCTACTTACTAAACCTACAGCACCTGGTATTGTCTCTATAGACTGACAGGGGCAGGGCCAGGTCCCCAGCCAGGCACCGCAGGGTCGGCAAATGACCCTCTCCCATCTCAGTGCAGACCCTGTCAGTGGGATAAAGCAGCAGCCCCTGTTCTAGCCCCAGGCAAGGCAAGGGCATCCCCAGAACCTCTCCCTGTGGGAAAGGCTCATTTCCACTTCTGCCTCCTGTCTGTGAGATGGGCTGAGAAGTGCTACTGGAAGTGTCTGGGATGCCCAAAACACAGAAGGGAGGTGGAGGAAGGGCAGATACAGCACACCCCAGATTTATTTTTGCATCAAGAACTGCATACCACTGCCTGCTTTCAGCTACAGAGGAACAGTGTAGCCACCAGGAACAGGAAAACCTGACCTAAGGAATTAAAAGGCAGATGAGGAAAAAACCTGCCCTTCCCACCCAAAGGAAGCACATGTCTGACTGGGTGTGTACATAAGAAAGAATGGAAGACATCCATTCTCACATCCTGGGCTGTTCATGGAAGGGAGAGATCAAGCAAAAAAAAGTAATCTCACACTTTCCAGCTTAAACTCCCATGTTTGCAATTTATCTTCAGAAGTCACTTCAGTCCTAATGGGAAGTGCATGTGAAGGGGAGAAGCTCCACAGAGGATAGCACTGATGGGAGCAAAAGTGATGTTCAGAAGAGAAAGGGTACAGAAGAAATAAAAGGGCACTAACCTTTCCCAGGTTAGATTGAGGTGTTTGAAAAGGAAGAACAAAAAAAAAATCTTTCATTTTATTTCCACATGTGTGCAATTAGCCCAACACTTGCAACACATTGCAACTGAGGAACTAAATAAAAATACCTCTCACCACCTGGATCTTCAGTGTATTTGTAATTACAGCCACTTAGCAAAAAGGGAAGGCAAACCACATATTTCCTAAAAAAAAAAAAAAGAACACCTCAAACTCAAGCAAGACAACTGTGGTATGGAAACACGGCAAAAGCCATTCGCCTACAAATGAGTCTCTACATGATCCCAAAACAGCAGCAGTGTTTAGAAGTGAAAGAATCACCCTTGGTCATGACACACATGTCCTAGGAATGTCTGTCCTCAGCAGTACCATGCTGGATTGGCCAGACTCTGTTGTGCTTACGTTTTTCACCATCTGGTACTGGCTCCTGGGCTGTTCTCACCCCTCCATCCATGTCCAAAAAGAAGCTAACAACTTCTTTCTTCTACCATCACAGACGCTGATGCTGGGAGCTGGAGTTACCAAGGGTACACATCAGGACCGGAGTGGGAATCCCTGACCTCCTCTAGTGCCAGGGATGGAAGAACGGCAGACTGACCCACAGGGAGGGGGGAGGAAAAGGACAGAGAGGAAGGAAAGGCTGCCAAGCAGCCGGTCTTCAGTGACGATGCTCATGTTCAGATTTTCCCAGGAATTCCCTAAGAAAAGAAATAACACAGCAGTGACACTCAGCTCTTCTACACTTGCTGCAGCCCGCACGCCTTTCCATTCCCCTGGCAAATACTAGGGCTTGAGCACTCGCAGTTGCAGGGAACAGCACTGAGCTTTGCCCTCACCCATCAAACAACTCCTCCAGAGCATCCAAGCTCACAGCAGAGACAAGGCAGAGAGGAGAAGTGCTCCCAGCTTTCTGTGGCTCCCTTTCCCAAAACCTGCTTTGCAGGGAGGTGAAAAGCCCTGACTTTGTGCTAAGGCAGCCCCAGTATCTCACCAACTCTGGAAACCAAAGTTTTTTTCAGAAAAGCTGCCCCATACAGTCACCTGTTACACATCTCCCTTGCTCCTGGGTGCATGCCACAGTGCGCCCCAAAACCCCAGGCAACAGCCCCTTCCCACATGCCAGAGGAGACCGCAGTTAGCTGTGCTGTTACCGCAGTATTCGAGGTAGCTCTGGACTCCTGTAGATGTACTTGTGCCGGTAGCCGAGGTCTGTGTGGAACGGAACAAACTGCACCTTGTAGTCTCGGAAACTCCGTGACGTCGCAGCGATGTTGTAAAGCTGAGCGCAAGAGGAGACAGGTAAGGGACGAGTGTCGCTCCAAACCAGCCACCCCCACCAAACCAGCATCCCTCTCTGAGGTGGGTTATGGCCCCTGGCTTGACCAGCTTTGCTACCTCTAGCTCTGTTTCACTGTTGCTTTGCCACCTCCAACACCACAGAATTGGTAGCCCTTCAGGCTATGCATTTCTACATACTCCTTCCTACGCTGACTTTTTGCCTGGCTGGGATGTCACTCTAGCCAAATCAGTTCCTCCCACCAGATCAGCTTTCAGAGCCACGTGCGTACCTTCTTTCCTAGACGAAATGGTACCACCGGGTCGTCCTCAGCATGAAGGATGAGCAGGGAGCAGGAAATGTATTTCACACTGTAAAGGAGACAACAATGTCACAAAGGCCCAGAGCAATCTCATCATTCTCTAACACCAACACAGCTGGATTTCCAAGGAAACTGCAATGACGAACATGTCCTGTGGGTCATTAACTGCAGTTCAGATCTTGAAAACAGTATTTTATCTGGGCACCATTCATTTGATCTCTAGAAAACCTACCAGCGAAAAGCATCCTTGCAAAAGCTATCTGCTGCTTAGACCAGAGAAAAGGGGCTCACCCCACTGCAAAACATCATCCCTCAAGGTCTGGTTTGGTTTCAGTACTGGAAACCAAACTCACAAACACTCAGGCTCTTGGCCAAAAGGCCCAGTGAAAACAATGTTACTACACACAGGGTGGCTTATCCAAATGCACAGCAGATATATCTTCCCAAACCTCCAATGGCCCAATGTTAATGTGTAATATCTAACATACACTTGAAAAGCATAAATCACATGGACCAAATTAGCACATCCTTGAGTAGTCTCTGTGCTCTCTGTTGCATCTGTCCTTATTAAGAACAATTAAAAGAGTAAGAGCTCCACAGTGCAAAGCTGTGTTGCACTCAGGGCTGCAAGAGTAACTGAAATTCCTTCAGCAAGTATAATATTTCAACCAAAAACACAAAAAAAATTAAAAAAAGGAAAGAAAGTAAAGTGTAAAGTTTGATGTCTATTGTCCCTGATGCTTGCCATAGCTCACTGTAGCCACAGCTGAAACTCCAGTAAAGAGGGAACTCACTTCTCATCGTTTGCAAATTTGATTCCACTTGTTGTGATGGGGTCAAGGAAGAACCAGTCAAACCCAGGGAAGTATCTGTAGATCTGAGGGGAAAAATTTGTGTTAGTGGCAGGCACCAGCAGGACAGTTACACAA